TTTAAAAAATGCAACAATAAATGTGAGATTAACTACTTTCCCCTTGGTGGACACAGGGCTAGGCTAGCACGATGGCTGCCCAGAGGGCAGTGGCCTGGCAGCCTTCCTGTCCTGTTAGCAGCCACCGAGGCTTGAGCTGCTTGCCTGAAAGCTCCTGGCCCAGAAGGAAGAAGTGGATGCCCTGGGTCTCTTCTTTCTAGAGAAGAACTCTTCCCACATCTGTTGTTGGCCATAAACTCCCGCCTGAGCACTTTGAGAAGGGGGAACTCCTGGAAGAGTTTAGACTTCATAAAGACCTAAAAAGAACCGTGCGGAGCTCTAAAGCCTGGCATGGAAATGATGAAGGTGCAGGAGCTGCTTTAAGGAGGGAGAGGAGGCCAAGGTTTTTAAGAAAGCAGCCAAGTGGCTGGTTCAGCTTTTCAGGGAGTTTTCTGAGGAGCAGAGAATGGAAATGTGTATGAGGAAGTACAGAAAGCCAAGCCAAAAAGAGCCTGGCGAGAAAATGAAAGGCCAGCGTGAGCCTAACCATCCAACACCTGGTAGCGTAATGAGAGGGGCCTTGTTAAAGACCAGCCTGGCCGCTGCTGCAAGATGTAGCAGCATGGTGAGTGTCACACGCACTCAGCTGCCATCCCGTGTCACCATCATCCCCTCCTCAGCAGGACAGAAGCCCCCCTAGAAAGTGGACAGGAGCACCATGTGATAAGGAAAACAGCGGGTGGTTGAGAGGACAGAAGCCCTAGCAGCTTGAAGCAGTGCAGGCGAGGCCTGCAGACAGAACCCCAGGCTGCGGGCTGACCTTCATTGTAGCCCCAAGGCCGCCCCAAGCACTGAGCAAGGCCGCGTAACCCCAAACTGCTGCCGCTGGCGTCTTCCTGCAAGAGTGGGTGATGGTGAATTCTCTCAACAGCCGCTGTCGCTCCGTGGTCAGCTTCAGCTTATTGTGAACTCAGAGAGGAAAACAAGACAGTGAGGATTCAGAGTTCTGGGGAGCACTTCAAACCCCGAGTCCTGCTAGCCTCATCACCTTTGCTTTTATTCTTCACAGGACCCAGAATTGAGCCTGGGGCCTTGTGCGTGCTAAGCCCACATTTGTGGAGCTCCACGCCTGCCTCCTGGCCTCCGGTTAGGAGAGACAAATGGGTTTTTCATGGACATAAACCCACAGCATTTGGGGGCCAGAAGCAGCTTTAATAGAATTTGTTTCCCTCATTATGCACCGAAGCAGTCTGGGTCCCTAGACCTTTGAGGAGAGTCCTGGGGCCATATGCCAGAACTCTAGCCTCCCTGTCAGATTCTTGCCCAAACACACGGCATTTCAGCAAGTCACCTAACAAATGCTAGGATTACGGCAGGATGATCTTAGAAATACAAGTTTTATAAATGCACCAAAAACCTGAGCATTAATTTATTCTCTCAGCAAAGGGGCTGTGCATAGCTCTGTTCTTGCAGTATTTAAAAAAGGATTTACGTAATAGAAACAGAATGCCTGTTCAGAATGATACAGAAATGAGAGGGCGACTGTGACATCAGATGAGAGAATCCAGATTTCCTCAGGCAGGACAAATACAAGCCCTACAGTATGAAAGTTAAAGGGCCATGAATAAGAAAGGATGGTCACAGATGATGAGAAAGACCTAGATCTGAGCAGCCCTTGTGAAAAGCTGTAGGGATTTCACTATATGGAAAAAACTAAAAGAGTAATGGGCCTCAATAAAAGATTGTGGCCCTACCTGTGGTAGGCAAGACAGTGTACCCCACACCCCAAGAGGGCCTGAATGGCCTTCCTGGGAGCTCTGAATAACCTGCCTTAGGTGGCAAGGAGGACATCACAGATGAGATTAAGTGAAGGATTTTGAATTGGGTAGGCCATCTGAGGTTACCTGCAAGAGCTCCTTGCCCTCCTCGGGCCCCTTATGAGTGGAAGACGGAGGCAGGACTGCCAGGATGAGGACAGGCGATACGACAATGGCAGCGTAGGTAGGAGCAGTGCAGAACCACCAGCCAAGGACTGTGGGCGGCCCTGAAAGCTGGAAACAGCCAGGAATGGGTTGCTCTCTAAGGTATCTGGAAGGAGCCATCTTTGAAGACCCATGCAGACTTCTGACTTGCTTTTCTGACCAGAATTATAAGCATAAACTTGTGCAGTTTTAAGCCACTGCATTTGTGGTGACTGTCTCTGTAGCAACAGGGCAGGAACGCAGGCTGCATGAGTAGGAGTGGTGAGAGCATCTAGCCAAGCAAACGTGGTGCCCTGCCCCGTGAGGTCACATCTGAGTTAGGGAGTGGGGTAGTCGGGCTTGCAAGGGAGACAATAAAATACAGGACACATAATTTATAGGATTATTTTATAATGTTCACCCAAAGAGTAAACTGCAGAAGAGTTTAAGAAAGCTGTTCACACACTAGAGACCCAGAGATCCCAGCTGAGGGCCTGGAGCACACATCAATGTCTTGCATGATTCTTGCTGAAGACCCACGACAGTGTCCTCCGCAAGTCCAACTGGAGGCCTAGAGCCCACGACAATGTCTTAGGCAAGTCTGTTTCATGGATCTGTACTGGGAAGGCTCAGAGGCCCAGTGTGTGCCGGCGAGATGAAGGATCTGTGCCGGCAGGCTGAGAGATCTGCACTGGAGCCGGAAGCAAAGCTCAAAGTAAGAACCACAGCCTCAGCAACAAGGTCCCAAGCCCCTTGGGGGGCAACAATAGCCAAGTCCATATCGGGAAAACCAGCATGACAAGTTTCTCCAGGAGAATCAACAGCACTACCTCCCCTTTATGTTGTTGGGAGCAATCCTCAGGGGGGATTCAGTTCAGCTGTGTGTAAGAAGTTGACCACCAGTTGGCCATCCACCACTGGGAACACTGATGACAAAAATCACATGCACATTGGATGTGGAAGAACCTCAGAGTCATGACACATGATGAAGAGCTGAAAATACTATTTTTAGCATGACTAACGTGGAGCCTAAGAGTTGTCTTCACATGTATGAAGGGTTAAGTAAGTCAGTGAAAGATTAGCATCTCCATAATGCCAGAGAGGAATACCAGAACCAATGAAGATACTCAAAGAGTCAGAGCTGCCAGCATAGTAAGGCTGTGCCTTGCCAAGAGGAATCTTGTCCCTGGAAGCATTCCAGCAGAAGCTGAAGGATCACCGCTCAGGAAATTGGAAAGATTCCTTCATAGAGCCATGGTTGGTCAAGAACCGCTCTCAGCACTTTTATTCTAAGATTTGAAGACCTGACAGCTCTGGAAAGACAAGGCATATTTTCCCTGGAGTGCCAGATCTTTCTCTGCGCTCAGCTTTCTAGTGAAATCTCACAGGACAATAAAAGCAGTAGCGAAAGTTCTCACTTCAGTTGCTCATGGAATTCTCACTGCTGAATTTAAATCGCCCTGAGAACTGGCTCCGTGATGAGTAAGTGAGGTATCTGGGTCAGGGTCTCTGCACTGGTTTAATCTAGAGACAGCAAGGTTGGAAGTGGGGAATCCCAGGCAGGCCTGGCCAGCCCTACAGCCTTTGCCAACGCCTGCCCCTGTGGCTGTGCTGGCAGCTGCTTCTGGTGCTCTTGAGAAAGTCACACCTCAGCTTCGTTCTCAGCTCCTTAAACCCCTGCAGTAGCCCCTGTGGTCCTGAGGCCACACAGGCAGACTTGTGCAAGCAAGGTTTGCAGAGTCAGGGGTTCCTTTCCCATAGCAAATCAGCACTCCTATGTGTCAAGGGTGTCCAGTAAAGAACAGAAGAAAGATGCAACTAGTTTGGTTGGGCTGAGTGTCCATGATACTGTGTTCCACCTGACCCACATCTCTCAGATTGGAAAGCTGACTACCTGGGGGAGGGGAGGGTGGCTCTGGTACCCTTGTCTCTCCAAGTGGTTTTCTCTGGAACTGTTGAATAAAACTGCTGCTACGTGACTTGCAAGAAAAAGCACAAAGCACACAGGCTGTCCTCATGCTCTGAGCCTCAGACTACTGGTTTTTGCACTGGGCACCAGGCTTCACTGCAGTGCAGGCCCCTGAGAGGAAGGCAGAGATGCCCGTGTGCCAGTTGATTAGAACATTCTCAGTCAGCATGCCCGGACAAGCGCCACTGCCTCACACCCCGGAGTGATTGTGACCATAGCCACATGTAGACATAACCCTGGCCTGCTTTCCACATTGTTTCTGAGTTGCCACTACTCCCCCACCCCCCCTCTTCTCCCTCCGTAGCTTGTGTGTATATTTTCTTACCTGTGCATTAGTTTTTCCACTTTCATTCCATTAGTCTAAGGCAAGAGGAAAAGAAGCCGTACCTGAAGACTAGGTGTCTGTGCTTTCAAAACACCACAAGGCCTGTTGCTTCTGCACCTGTGACTTGCAGGTGGGGCTTAGGGCTCATCCCTCACCTGGTTTTGTGACAGCAGCTCCGCTGGGGCAGTGGCCGTCCAGATCACCATGAGCCTCCCCAGATCCTCCCCAGCAGCACCCAGGCTGGAGCGCGGGCCACACACACCCTCGCGGTGCGCGTTCACCTTGCCACCACCCCATGCCCTCCTGTGGTGAGTGCAGCTGCCACCAGTGGAGCTGGAAGCTTCGGCGAAGGTGCACATTTGCCAGTCATGCCTGCCTTTAATGGCGTCCATCCAAGAGGATCTGAGTTGGATTCTTTACACATCTCAATTTTTACCTACAAAATAGGAGTAATAATGGTTCCTCATTCATCAAGTAATTATGAGGATTTTAAGGCTTAATTCATGTGAAATATATACTTAAGGGGGCCTTCCTGGCTGCCCTTAGTACCCTTAGCTCCTTCAGTCATCACTGAATGTGTACGCTTGACCTTAGCCAAAAGGCCGAGAAGCGATATCACTGAATGAATAAACGTGAACAATTTATACCTAGAATTGCTTATTAACACAGTAGAAGTAAAAAAGATCAAGTGTGCAGTGTGCACGCTTTCAGCGCACTATGCTTGTCATGCAGTGTGAAATGCCTTTCTATTTCCACCCCATCCCAGGACTACACTTTGTTATATGAAGAGGCAAAGTATTTTCAACTTCAGCCAATGTTGTTGGAGATGGAAAGATGGAAGCAGGACAGAGAAATGGGTCGCTTTTCACGGCCCTGCGAGTGCCTCGTGGTGCGCGTGGCCCCGGACCTCGGCGAGCGGATCACGCTCAGCGGGGACAAGTCCTTGATAGAAGAAGTGTTCCCTGAGGTCGGTGATGTGATGTGCAACTCCGTCAATGCAGGCTGGAATCACGACTCCACGCATGTCATCAGGTTCCCCCTGAATGGCTACTGTCACCTCAACTCCGTCCAGGTACAGCACCGCACATCATAAGGGACTCATGCGTCACTCCTGATACTTGCCCTTGCCCTTCCCCCAGGGAGCCCAGAGAGTGCTGCAGAGAGACACTTCTGGTGGGCAGGTACTTACCACCCATCTGCAGCATTCTGTAGTCATTCTTAAAGTCTTTACTGAGCACCTAATATATGCCAGGTGCTGGTGTGAACACTGGAGGTACAGAACACAGAAAAGGGTAGCTTGGTTTGTGGGGCTTGCATCCTGGGCTTGGGGTGAACATGAAGCAGCATAAATACTACTCAGCTAGGAGTAAGAGGTATCTGGGCTGGGATACGCCAGGCAGGGGGATCAGAAGATCCTAAAGTCCTGGGGTAGGAAAGCGTTTAGCAGGTTGAGGCACAGTAGGTTAGCCAGCAGAACTGGGAGAAAGTGACTTGGGACAGTGGAAGTTCAGACACATGGTCAGGAGTGCCTGGGCACCATCATGGAGACCAAGCACAGTTAGGAGTGAGTAGGGTCTGTCATGGGGACCCTTGGAGAGAGCACTAAGTACTCTAGAAAGGAAAAGAGGATTTTGAGCAAGAGTGACCAAACTGATATTTTAAAGTAAATTCTCCAGCAGCAGGTAGAAATAGTGAAGCAAAGGGACCCATGGGAAATTGGGGTCCAGGCAATAATTGGGCCATGTCTGGTTGTGAATATCTTTAATGTATTTCTAACAAGGTGTTCTGACCATGGCTGTGAGTTGTAGCACAGAAATCCAGGATGACCAGGAATTTCCACAGAAAAACAGCTAAGAGGTATTGAGTTTTGCTAAGATGGAGACATCCTTGGTGGAAGATGACTCTGGGTGGGGTTCAGAGCCTTGGTTTACTTACATGAGGGGCTGTGTTCCTTCGACGCTGGTGGGCGTCGCTAGCCCCTTATCTAAATGTGCAGCACATGGGCTCTCTGCACCCTCCTAGGCTGTGGCGTGTGGGTGCCCTGGCTCCCTATGGCATCGCTGACTCCCTCTCTTACTGTTTGCAGACAGATGTGCCTGGGTCTGGACTGCAGATCTCTGTGACACAAAGCTCTTGGAAGCCGGTGGAGGGAACTCTTGGATGCCTATGTGTCATCCCCCCCCCCACTTCTCTTTAATTTGGATCAGTGTATGGCTTAGTTCAATATTTAGTGAACAAAACCTCCCCAAGAGCCAAAGACTACAAGCATTCACTAGACCGGCGCCTCTGGAGGATTGTTGCATCATGATGTACACAGTGGCCGAGCTGGGTGGGATGACGTCATATGTCCCAGCCCTCCGGGAGGCTAAGGCAGGAAAATCACAAGCTTGGATGGAGCGTGAGCAACTTAGTGACATCTTGTCTCAAAATAAAAGAGAGAAATGGCTGGGGGAATATAGCTCGGTGCCAAGAACCCAGGCTCAATTTCCAGTACCAAATGGGGAAAAAGAACTAAACTAAATTTTAAATGCAAATGTCAGAGCAAAACAGCAAAAAACTCTAGCAAATAAGTGATCCCTCCATATGCTAGAGGGAGGCGCACACTTTCCTCGAGGTTCCAGCAGGCAGCAATCATATTGTCACCTGGGTGGGTGGCACCCCCCAAGGTGTGGGGTGCTCCTGTACTGCCCTGTGCACTGCTGTGCGAGCTTCTGTGGAGCCCTTGATGCCAGCGGTCTTGCCAAGTGCTCCCCACCCCCAGCCTGTAGACCAGGGAGAAGCAGAGCCACTCGGAGCCAGGAGTGAAGCCCTTAGCCCTACCCCTGGGCCAACGCCCACCTTTCATCGATTCACACCCTTCTTGCCTTTCCCAGGTCAGATGTGGAGTTTTTCATCAGTGTCATGATACAGCATAGCCATAACCCTTTCTTATTTCATCTTTCTTTCATTTTGGAAGATTTACATATTTCAACAAAGGACACCAACCTATAGCACAGACTTTGAGATAAGGCATCTGACACCTGCAATGCTATGTAGTTATTTAAACATTCTCAAACGACTGCTAAATCCAGGCACTATGCTCTTGAGTTGGGGTTTACAAAGCAGTGGCTTCATAAGCTATTTGCATTACATGGAAATAAATACTTGCGCACATCCATGGTAATGTTACAGCATACTGAACAGCCATCCTATTATATCAGGGTCCCAGAGAAGAAGACACATAGGAATTTCCTTGTATTAGCGATTGGTGGCCCTGCGACCACTTGAGAGAATTGTGGCTGTCACAGCTTCCTCACCTCTCTGTTTCCTCTCTGAGGCATCATAAAGATGCCAAGCATCCTTTCAAAGCAAAGCGAGGTGGCTCTTGCTGACAGGCCACATTCCTGTTTCTGCCAGAGCCTGCGTAGCTCTTTGCCCTTTTATTCACCTGCACCAATGCAGCTTTTGATTTTGAACTTGGGCCTCTTTCCTTTGCCCCGCCCCTAGCCGCCTGTTGGGTGCATACACAGTGAACTCACCTGCAGGAACGCACAGCGTGGGTTTATGGGGTCCCCCAGGGACTGCAGGCTTTCCTCATTTGCCAGATCTTGACATTGGAAAGCAGCCCCCTTGCTTTCCAATGCCATCTCATAAGCTCTTCTGCAAAATAGCAGATAAAATAATAATTTCTTAAAAACAGGAAGAGTTCACTTTATCCTGACTACATTTTCAGGGTTACTCAGTAACATTTCATTTCCTCCAAAAAAAAAACAAACAAAATAACCCCCAAAAAACAAAAAACATCTGAGAACTGCAGGTCCTGTTTTGTGCACTGAGGGGTGTCAGACATTTAGGGACACATGCAGGGATCTCTTGGCATTAGGTTCTAAGTTCAAAATTAAAAACTAGATTGTCTGGCTTAAGCTTCTATAAAAGATTTAAAATATCTCTATTTTGGATGCGTGCTCTAGTGTGTAACCATTGCGTTTATTCTTCCCTCCCTGAATGCACGCAAAGCAGTATGTCTGCTTCAAATGCCACAAACTGGGAAACTTGTAGCTAAAACTTGACTGTCTTCAGTAATCCAGTTATTCTGTTGCCGAAATATATAAATCTTCCAAAATGAAATGTAGATGTTAACTCAGTATTGGGAAACTTGTGAACACAAATGAGTCACTGGCTAAGTAAATTCAAATTCTATTCCCTTTTCATGTTCTCTCTCAGTTAACAGAATGTATTTTAATGGTAAATGAACTCTAATGTGAGCTTTCATTTGTGTCAGAGAAAGCAGCATTGCAGTATGTTGAAAACAACCATGCAGTCATGGGATTTGAGGCCAAACAGGCCTGAGTTGGAAATCCAGTTCCGTTGTTTCCTACCCATGAGCCTGTGCTTCCTCATCCATACAATGGGGCTCTTACCCCCAAGGGGTGTAACTGCATGTGGAAGGCCAGTGTGCAAAGGCATGTCTTGGGGATGCCTACCACCTCTTCGGTCTCCCTTCTGCCCTTTAACCCAGGGTCTCTCTTTGGAGCAGCCGCTAAAGGCACCTAGGGGTGGGATGAGATGGAGCAGAGCTTCCATGACCTCCCACTGTGGCATGCCCCTGTGGGGCATTTACGTGGCCAAAAGACTCACTCACTCCTCACCAGATGCTTGTCTTTGCTCCTCACAGGTCCTTGAGAGGCTGCAGCAAAGAGGGTTTGAAATCGTGGGCTCGTGTGGGGGAGGAGTAGACTCATCCCAGTTCAGCGAATACGTCCTCCGGCGGGAACTGAGACGGACGCCCCGCGGACCCTCCGTCATCCGGATAAAGCAAGAGCCTCTGGACTAAACAGACACGTTTCTTATGCAAATAAGGAAAACACAGACAACAAATAACGTGATCAGAAAGGGGACATTTATGAGAAGTCGGGACAGCAAACCAAGTTCTGGACCTAACATTGAACAAAAGACACATTTATATCCAATAGAGATCACACCTGTATTCATATGGGAACAATTGGAATAGTGATATCCTCAAGGTGTAAAAAATATATAAATATATATATAAATATATATATGTCAAAAGGTAGGAAATGCAAAAAATGAGAGAGAGAGAGAGAGAGAGAGAGAGAGAGAGAGAGAGAGAGAGAGAGAGAGAAAGGTGATAGCTACAGTTGATGCTGTGATGGCCGTGAAGCATCCGGGGCCTCCTAAGGCCTCTGACCAATAAGCAAGCCATGAGTGGGAGGACACAGTCTCCTTACAGTTTCCGTCATCAACTGCCATCCATTGTTTCTTTCTGTTTTGTCTTTTTTCCTTTTCCTTTATTTTTTGAACACCTCAAATGGATCTTCTCTGCAGATGGAAGTTCCATGTCCCCTAGGTGGGGATCAGGCGGGACGTCAGAAGAACTCTCACGAGCACATTACAGGGAAAGGACTTGAGACATGACCTTTTAAATGTAGTTTGTATGGGAATGACACTTTTCTGTCCACCTCACAGATGTGAACTTTACTTTGTTTTTAAACTGATCAGTTTTGCAAAGGGGCCAGAATTATTCCTTGTTAGAGGCGCTCCAGTTTGAGTCAGCTGCTTTCCTACAATTTTTCAAATTTTATAATGTATTAAATACAATAAACTCTGTTTAAAAAATGAGGTCGGTGTCAAACACACGTGTGGGGGAGGCTGGCTTGAGGTGACTGTTTTCTGTGCTGAGCAGCAGCACGCTGGAGCAGCTAGTCAACATGTATTCAAGGCCGTGGTCACCGTTAGGTGGCCTCGCAGTTCTCCAACTCAGCGACCATTCTTTCCCGTGTGTTAGTATTCCACCTTGATAATCCTTCTTGCTCTTGTTTTCTTTTTCTTTTTCTATTTTTTAGTGCTGGAACTAGAACTCAGGGTGTCAAGCAAGCTAACCAGTTTTGTGTCACTGAGCTATGTCCCCATCCCATCTCTTCTTGGGAACTTTTCTGTCACGCCTATTTCAGACATTCCTTCCTGGTGAGCAGTCACTCCAAAATGTGTTCATGTAGGGAACATCACTTCCCGGCCTGCTTTACTAACACTGTGACCATCGTGTGCTAACTGCCCCGGCCAGGCTCTTCTGCACACGATGCCCTCCGGGGGCACGATAGGGCTGGACTGTCTGTGGCGGCTTATCCAGCTGGCTGCCGATTTCCACAGCTGTTGGCCTCCATGTGCCGGGATCCCTGTAACCGAGAAGCAGTGTCCGAGCCCAAGTGTCCTCGGGGTGCCTCCAGGTGGAGGCACTGGGAGCCACAGTCCCCAGAAGGCTGAGCCAGCACCGTCTGTGCTGTGATCTGCTGGCTGGACAGACAGACAGTCAGCCCAGACTCCCAGACAGGAGAAACCTGATCCGCTTCCTTCCGTGGAAAGTAACAAAGAATCTGTGGCCAACTGGAATTTACCATAACGCCCTGCGAAAGGATGCTCAAGTAGGGCATTGTGGCTTTGGAAGAAATCAGTGATCTCAGGGCCAGAACAATCACCTTATTATTAGACAGAGGTTAGAAACCCGAGACCTCAGTATTACTTGGGAATTGAGTCCTCGGCCTTCCCTAAAGCATGACTAACCCTGGTTCTGTCATCAGCCTTCCCCTCGCTTTTCTTCTTTACTTCCTCTTCCTCGTTCCAGACACCAGAATAACCTGGTAAACCGCTAAGATTGACAGGTAAACCGCCATGCGTTCCTGCTGCAGAGATGCTCCTGTGGTGCTGGGAAATTTCCATCCTGAACTGACTTTCTTTTTTTAAATTAAAAAGTCTGTGCCTGAGGACACCAGTAATGAAAATATCTCTGGCTTCTGAAGCCAAAAGTAAGCTGTTAATGGCTCCTATCGTTCCCTGCAACACAGAGGTGGCCCAAACACCAGGTCCCTTTAATGACTCCCAGCCAGGCTGCCACAGCCTTCTGGGATTTCTCCTTACATGGAACTAATGCACCACAATCTGCGATGAGGACTGTGGCTGCTGCCTCCACCTGCTCTGCCATCCTGCAAGGAGAATGCAATGTCTCCGTGACTTTACTAGCAGTCCCTTCCCATCAGCCAAAATGCCCCAAATCAGGCTGTGCTGGTCACTGCCAACAGTTCACGTTCCCCAGCATGTCCTACACGCAGCGCGGGCTGGCCCAGCCAGTGACTTGTACCCCACAGGACTGTGCACCTTAGTGAGCAGCAGCCTCTGCCTTCTAAGTTCTTCTGCCCATTTCTTTTCATTTCTTTTTCTTTCTGGCTTGCTTTTTTTTTTTTTTTTTTTTTTGGTGGTACCAGGGATCGAACTCAGGACCTTGTGCTTGTCTTCTTGTCTTTGGACCTTGTGCTTCTGCCTTGAGCACGAACCAACTGCACATTCTTTGTGCAAAAACTCTGCTCCCAGTTCCATGGGGCAAATATTTTGTGCTTTTCACGTCTTTAGGTCTTGTGACGTATTTCCAGATGCCAGAGTGACTCAGAAAAGGGTACTGAACTATAATTGACTCACGCTCTTATTTTTTTCACTATATTTTACTCTCCAATCTACAATTTCATATTCAAAATTCACCAGTTATCCCAATAAGGATCTTTACCGCTGTGTTGTATTCCTCTAAAGAAGTTTATCAAGGTCACACGTGACATTCATTAATAACATCCCTTCAGGCACTTAAGTGGGAGCCCCACGTTCATTTTATTGAAGAATCTAGCAATTGTTTTGTAGATGTTTGCGTACTTCAGACTGGTCTAGCTGCCCCCTTATTGGTCAAGTCAGATTAACTTTTTATTTTTTCCTGTGAGACTGCTATACCGTCCTCATTGTAACACACCACAGGGGCACTTCGGCCAATACTAGTGATGGCATTTTTATTTCTTAACTGAAGGGATGTCCACCAAATTGCTCCAAGATGGAATTTATTCTTCTTCTTCTAATTGATAAGCAGTCTGTGAGGTGACACTGTGCAGCTGTGTAAGTGTTCGTTCCTGATAACCTTTCCTGGGGCCATTACCTTGGTGGTTATAAAACTGTACTTCTTTAACAATTATTATTGCCCAAACCATTGCTATTTGAAGTTGCCCCATCCCCTGCCTCTGCCACCTTTTTGAACAAAATAGATCTAGGGCAGACAACCTACAATCTTTGATCCTCTTCTCTAAGAAGTATTTTAGGAAAATAGAGCAATCCACTTCTAAACTAGTTTTTAAATATTAGCTGTATTTCTACATAGTACCAGTCACGCCCATCCACTTAGTATTTGCTAGGTATCAGGCACTGTACCTCATGTCTTATCAGCTGTGGCTTACTTGGTTTTTAGGACACTAGAGGCTATATTACTCCTACTTCTTGGTTAAGAGAGCTATGATTCTGAGATAGCAAGCAAATGATATGGAAGTGGGTAACAGTCAATTAAGCTTTTGCAGGAGAGCCCAAAATAAACTATGGTATTTGAAAAAAGGTGCATGTTCATGTTATAATAAGAAGAATAGATGGTTAAGAACATTTTCTCCTAAAATGAAAATACATCCCTGTAGTTAAATATTTTGAGCATTCCTCATGACGTATCGGGCATTTGGGTCTGTGACACCGTGGCGACCCTGACATGGCTTCTGCCATAGGTTTCGCCTTTTCTTTTTTCCTTTTTATTTGTAGTTCTGGGGTTCGAGAGGAACATCACACCAAATCAGATTATATATATATATATATATA